GATTTTTCTCGTATGACTTGGCTTTATTTAATGAAATCTCGTTCTGAGTTGCTTTTACATTTTAAAACATTTTGTGCTGAAATAAAAACCCAGTTTGATGTGTTTGTACAAACATTGCGAAGTGATAATGCCAAAGAATATTTCTCTGATTCCTTCCAGACTTACATGGCTCAAAATGGAATTCTCCATCAATCATCTTGTGTTGATACTCCATCTCAAAATGAAGTGGCTGAGAGAAAAAATAGACATCTTCTTGAAACTTCCAGGGCTCTTTTATTTCAAACACATGTTCCTAAACAGTTTTGGGCTGATGCTGTTTCTACAACGTGTTTTTTGATTAATCGCATGCCTTCCACTGTTCTAAATGATCAGATCCCTTATAAGATTCAGTTTCCTAATAAATCTGTGTTTCCTGTTGAACCTCGTATCTTTGGATGTTCTTGTTTTGTTCGTGATGTTCGTCCGTAGGTTTCCAAATTGGACCCCAAGTCATTAAAATGTGTCTTCCTGGGATACTCTCGTCTCCAAAARGGGTACAGGTGTTTTTCTACTCTCTTGAATCTTGTGTCAGCTGATGTTACATTCCATGAACATCTTCCTTTCTTTACTGCTCCATCTACACCCGTGTCCACAACATGATGATCTACTAGTGTATCATGTCACCGGTCCAGACGCTAGTGTTGTTCCAATACCCCATCACCACCTTCTCAACCAAAACTACCTATTACTCAAGTCTATTCTCGACGACCTAATCCTCCTGTGACAAGTCCGGCACCGGTCTCTTCTTCGTCATCGGATCCAATGCCCTATGATATTGATCTACCTATTGCTCTTCGGAAAGGTAAATGTCAGTGTACTTATCTAATTTCCTCTTATGTTACCTATGATCGTTTGTCCTCTACTTGTTTGTTTGTTGCCTCTCTTGATTTTGTAGGGATTCCCAAAACTGTTCACCAGGCTTTATCCCATCTTGGGTGGCGTGATGCCATGCTTGAGGAAATGAATGCCTTGACTGAGAATGGTACTTGGGATCTGGTCGATTTACTTGTTGGTAAGAAAGTGGTTGGATGCAAGTGGGTCTTTGTAGTCAAATTTAATTCTGATGGATCAGTGGCTCGCCTAAAGGCTCGCCTGGTGGCCAAAGGCTATGCACAGACATATGGAGTGGACTATTCTGATACTTTCTCCCCTGTGGCAAAATTGACTTCAGTTCGATTATTTATTTCTTTGGCAGCTACATATGATTGGCCACTTTACCAGCTTGATATTAAAAATGCTTTCCTGCATGGAGTTCTTCAGGAGGAGGTTTATATGGAGCAACCACCTGRGTTTGTTGCTCAGGGGGAGTCTGGGAAAGTTTGTCGTCTTCGAAAATCGCTGTATGGACTAAAACAGAGTCCTCGAGCTTGGTTTGGAAAATTCATTCAGGCAGTAGAGAGATTTGGGATGAGGAAGTGCAAATCTGACCATACTGCTTTCTATAAGCAGTCCACATTTGGCATCATTHTACTTGTTGTATATGTAGACGATATTGTTACCACTGGGAGTGACACGAAGGGAATCTCATCCTTGAAATCCTTCTTGCAGAGCCAGTTCAATACTAAAGATTTGGGGCACCTAAAATACTTCTTGGGGATTGAGGTGGCAAGGAGTGAAAGAGGCATTTTCTGTCTTAGAGGAAGTATGTTTTGGACCTGTTATCAGAAACTGGGAAACTGGGAGTCAAACCATGCARTACTCCAATGCTTCCTAACCAGCAACTCACAAAGGATGGAGATGCTTTTGATGATCCTRAACGATATAGAAGATTAGTTGGAAAGTTGAACTATCTCACAGTGACTCGTCCAGACATTGCTTACTCAGTTAGTATTGTAAGTCAATTTATGTCCTCTCCTACAGTGCATCATTGGGCAACCTTAGAACAAATCTTGTGTTACTTGAAAGGAGCTCCTGGACGGGGGATACTGTATCGGAATCATGGTCACAGTAACATCGAGTGTTTTTCTGATGCGAACTAGGCAAGTTCCAAGATCGAAGGTCCACTACTGGCTATTGTGTTTTCGTTGGTGGTAATCTGGTTTCGTGGAAGAGTAAGAAGCAAAATGTGGTGTCGCGATCTAGTGCAGAATCTGAGTATAGAGCAATGGCACAARCTTCRTGTGAGGTTATGTGGGTTTCTCAACTCTTAACTGAGGTCRGTCTTAAAGTCTYAGTTCCARCGAAGCTATGGTGCGATAATCAAGCTGCGATTCATATTGCTTCGAATCCAGTTTTTCATGAACGAACTAAACATATTGAGATAGACTGTCATTTCGTTCGTGAGAAAATTCAACAAAACTTGATCTCTACAGCATATGTGAAGACTGGAGAGCAGTTAGGAGATRTCTTTACAAAAGCTCTTAATGGAGCTCGGATTTCTTATATTTGTAACAAGCTGGGCATGATTGACATCTATGCTCCATCTTGAGGGGGAGTGTTACGAAATTATAGGCTGTAAATATGTAGTATTAGCCCAATTAGGAATAACTTGATTATAGGAATTATTCTTTCTTTGATTTTCTTCCTATTTTAGTATCTACAGGGTTGTATGATTTTCTTCCTTTTTTGTATCTGCAAGGCTGTATGATTTTCTTCCTTTTTTGTATCTGCAAGGCTGTAGGATTTTCTTCCTTTTTAGTATCTACAAGGCTGTATATATATGTACTACTTTCTCAATAGAAAGACATCAATTTCTTCCAATTCTTGTTCTATCACAGATACAAACTGTTAATAGCCTAATAAATGCATGAAGAATGGCAGATATCAAGATTTGTTCTGCTCCTTTTCATCTCCTACACCCACAGGTTGAAGGGAGTAAGATGGGCAGTATTAACACTGGGCACTAGCTTGCCCATTTTCCTGGAGAAGATACAATCTTATAAATTTTTTTAATTTTAACAGGTCAGAAACGACTCAAGAGCTATTGTAAGTGAATATGAGCAAATAACCAAATGCTAATAAACGATTCACATGCTAATAATACTTACATACAAAGCAGAAAGAACCTGCATGAAAATATGTGCCTCTTCCCACAGATTCTGCATTTCTGGAGGCCTACCAACACAGACATCACACCTGCATATGGGAAATTTTCAAAAAGAAGAGATTGCAATTGTAGACATACATGAGTATGAACAGTGGAGACAAAGATTAGCATCATCTTCCTGAGCATTTGTACAATTATGAACACTTGGATATTTCATGTTTGGAGAGAACACAAACAGAATAAAAAGGTCATTAACCAATGTTGATCCCAGCTATCTGGGGTCCTCAGAGAACAGGGTATTATGAGAAATATGCAAAGACATTAGAAAAAGATACATGGAAATAGTATTAGAAAGAGAGAACAACAAATTCAAGCATGCTTGGCATTTCCATTTGGCAGATCCTCTGATCCTGCAGCGAAGCTTAACAATAAAGTAAAAACATGGTTTTACATATAAAGGTAAATCTTAGTCTTCCCTAGATCATATCAGGGCATGACTTCTTGCTCTGGCATGCTTGTATTGGGTGTATCCTACAGAATCTGCTCCCTTTCACTCTGGTGCGAAATAAGAGTTATTTACTGAGCAAATCATTGGAAAAAAGTTCTTCATATGAGAAATTATTGAAGATAATCAAGGACAGTATTTAATTAGATTGGCATTGAAATTTAAATATGAATATGGAGTTTTCTTTTAAAACTTGCTAACAGAAAAATTTATAAATCTGCCATTATATCAGTTGTGGAATTCCCTTATTATCTCTTCTTGACAGCCATATAAGTTTTTCATCCATTGAGGAACCCTTTCCATCGAACAAAACAATCTTATCTCAAGAGATATAGAGAAACTCTAAATTAAGGGAGGGGGCATAACATACAAGAGACACTTCTCATAACTAAATTTCTCTCCAAAGTACTCCACCAAAGTCTTTGCTCGACAACATGCAGTAGCCATTCCATATCTGCAAATGAGAAAGGTTGTGAGATTTTTTTATTATTAATTATTGTTATTATTATTATTTTTTTTTTTGGGGGGGGGGGTGGTTACTTGTGGACATGGAACAAGATAAAGTCCTAGCAGAAGTATTTAACACAAACCTGAAGCAATCAGATAACATTTTATATGCTTGTTTTGTCTGCTCTTCACTTCGTTGACTTGGCAAAAGTGTTGGTATTCTGGCTAGGTTTGCATAAAGAACTGCTTGACAAAACATAAAAATTATAAATATTAACAATTAAGACAATGACTGTTAGAAAGAGAATTCCGACATAGATTTTGTGCATGAAAGATAATCCAAGAACTGTTATTCAAAGGTACAATTTGCGATGGTTTTAGAAGAGGAAGTTTAACTGCAAAATCAATTTCTCACTTTGTTTTGATTCTTGCCTCATTATGCAGCAGTTGTCATACTGCTAAGAACTGACAATATGCTAATTTGTCAATGATTGCCAGATCAAGACAGTTTGTTACTATATTCCAAGAAGATTAACTGAAAATATTATATAACCATATTCAAAGAGAAAGCAACAATTGCCATTAAAAAATGTAACTCACTGCAATCTGCTAATTTCCCATCCCTTCCAGCTCGACCTGCTTCTTGGTAATATGCTTCCAAACTCTGCCATTTGATTTAACAAAATCAAAAGATGCTGCAACATATATAAATATTTTGTATGGAAAAATTAAGAGAATAAAGAATGAAAGCTTGTCGGTTAACCACAAAAAGACTCTCACACACTCCAAAAATACACAATGATTTGTTGATTGAAAAAACTTGTTATTGAAGCAGAAAGTTAACTATTTCAAGCAACCATGTAAGACTCAGACTGGACAGATTGGTCAAACCATTAGACCTGGGAACCAAAAGTTATTCTGGTTTTTTTAAACCCTGGTTTTCAAATTTTTGGAAAACCAGCAGTACCAATTAAACCCCAGCATAACCACTGACAACCAGTTGGGTTTTAATGACACACCGGGGTCAGTAAATGCTCAGAAACTTAAAATGCCAATGGTATGATATGAACTCATGACCTATTAGTTAGGTAATTATCTTATTACCAGTAATCCAACACAACTACATGTGTTATAATTTACAAAAAAATATGATGTATATTGATTATATAACCTGCAGTCAAACTGTTTGACCCACAACCTGGCAAGCATTTCGGTTTTTTGTCTGGTCCGAGTCTTACAGCACTGATTTTAAGAATAAATCAAGTTGGGAGAGGCTGAATTCATACAAGAATAGTGCAGAGATATCGGATCCAAAAAATAGACCTGTGGCCAACCATAATGGATAATTCTCCGGACATTTGACTTGTCAATCCCCATCCCAAAAGCAATTGTTGCAACTATAACCTGGAGATCAGAGAAAACAACAGTGCACTTTATGACACAGTTTCATTTATTTCTTATGAGTTATATTTTCAAATGGAAGAAAGAAAGGTGAGAATGAAAAGTATTCACAACCCATTATAACAATGTTAGGTCATTCCATTTGAAAATCCACAAAAATTTGGTCGACAAAAGTCACATCCACTTGAGCTGTCGTAATGGCTATTCCCTTAGTTCATTTGTCTTATAACCATGTTTACTCTTCAACACAATGTTGCAGTGTGTATAAATATGTCTGATAAAATGTTTTAAAAGGCATTTGAGGTGTGCACAGGCACGCACAAAATACCCTGATGCATATGCTGGAGGAATGGATGCTTCTGAGGCATACACCTCAAACACCTTTTGCATGAGGTGTACAAATCATGCATTCCCCATGACAGAAAGAAGAAGAACTTCCTCCTCTTGACGAGCTTTACACCTCCTTGTGCACAGGAGGCTTATGCCTCTTGCATTATGAACTACACCTTGCACTTCATATCGCACCTCCCACTTTTTAAAACATTAGTGTACACATACTTTCAAGGTCCAAGAAAGTTATTTTGCCTCCAACCAATCAACCACCTAAGAATCCATTCTATTTCTATATTACTATAGACATGAGAGCATCCTAATCTCAGCCTATGCAGACATGCAGTAGAGCTAGCAGCTATGCCCAAGTAAAATCCATTTAACATATTGGACCAGAATATAGCAAGATAATGTATCTTTGGTTATTTCTAAGTACTTCACCAATATTATCTGAGTTCCCAGGGTTCCCAATACAGCATATTGAGAAAATGGCTTAGGGAAGTTGTCCTTTGCATGCTTTGTGCCATTAAAACAATACAACTTTAACTACCATAAAGAAAAAAAGAAAAAGATAGTTCTCATTGCAACTTTCCTTGCTGGGATTATAATCATCATTAGAGTGCATTATTCAATCACAAGAACACCATGTTGAATTGAGATTCCATGTAGCATGTACCCGAGATAAGTAATTAACTTAAAGTAGTTATCTAATGGTAGTATGGTCCTATTGCCCTATCTTTTTAACAATGAGCTTAAACTGGATACCTATCATCTTAAAGTCAAAATTTTCCTGATTTTAAAGAGAACTCAGCACCGACTAAATGGGGCCAAGGAAGAAAATTTAAGAAAAAAGAAAAAAAATGTCAAATATCTTTCTTAAAAAATTATGTTTTCCCATTCTATTGGAGTGAAGGAGATAATATAACAAGAAATGGCAAAAACATGTCAAGCCCCAAGAATTCTACAAAAAAAACCAGGAAAATAGGAAGGTCTCTCTTGTTAGTAGCATAGATACATAATAGTAATACTAAACCCTATTAAAGAGGACAAACATTAAAAAAAAAATAGAGAGAAGCAGTTTCTCTACATAAACAGAATGTTCATTTACACCATATCATGACTAAGACTCAACTATCAAATTGCTAATATATGAAGAGATTCAAACTATAGGTTTGAGCACCTAGTGAGAAATCAATCAGCTTACCATTCAAAAGTTATACATGGTTCGACTTGACCAAAATTAATCTAAGAACTATTTTCCATCATATAGTTTCTCCATACCTCCAAAGCATTTTGATGAAAATCTTTGTGAACACGCCTTAGATGTGACTTGGGCAACTGGAAAAAGGCATATAGATTAATTGTTCAGCCAAAATACAAATAACATTTTGATGGCAACAAGCAACTTATGCAGTAATAAAGATAATATCCTTTTTTTTAATAAGCACCAACTCAAAATATATACCTAAGTGACTGAATTTGTATATAACCTTGACAAAAATTTAAGAGCATATTCAAAGGCAAAGTAAGATTGCAAGAAAGGTAAAACAATCAAATGCCATTCCAGTTGATTGTTTAGTGCTTGATGAAACACCCTGCAAAGCTGAAAAGAGTGTGGATGATGGTTGTCTATATTTATTTCTGCAGCCACCAAATTTCCATGTTCTTTGGTGTTTCTGCACCTTCAAGGGTCATGCACCTAATATCTACGATTAAAGAAATTGACTAACACTATAAATTGTTTGCTTGTGGTCTCATAAGAAAATATGGAGAGAGAGAGAGAGAGAGAATTGAAGGATATCTGAGATATGGAAGAAGGTTAAGGAAAAAGGCACAAACATACCTTTGCATTGTAAGCAGCAGCCTTTACACCAAATTTGCATAGATATTTTGCTAATCTTAGCGTTTCCTTTCTAGTGGGGACATATATAATAGTCGGTCCATGATCTGAAGGCCCTTGTAAATGTCTCAGGCTTTCTTCCAGCTTGATTGGGGGACTGAGTGTCTCTAATGAAGAACAAATATCTCTGTTCTCAGGAGAATCCCCATAGAACTCACCACAGGCAACTACAAAATGGGGAATCGTGGAATTGATGTATTAGCACAAGAGTTTTGGAGACTCATAGTCAAACCCTTGATCTTTATTTGATGAATAGATATCATTATTGAACAGTAGGAGAAACATATCCACAGCCAACACATACAATGCTAAAAGTAGGAGAGAAATTAGCAAGTAAATGGTGAAGGAAAATACCATCCAAATCATCCACACAGCGAAAGTTATCTAGATCATCTTCCAAATATTCAACCGAAAGTTGGTCTTCCATTGAAGAAGCTGGATAATTCCCAATTTGAGAACTTGCTTCAGCATCATTTCCATCCAAATAATCCTGTTCGAGATCCTCAAAATCGCTCAGAGATCCTTCATTTGCATCAGACATGCTGCAATTGTCAGAGTCATCATCTGACTCGCATGAGATAACACAATCTTCCTTACCACCATCAATTCTCTTTTTGGTATAAATATCTATCAATTCAGAGAAGTCCATCTCATAAGATGCTATAGAAGATGTTCTGCTATGCTTTACCTGTAAGCAACAGAAAAGAGAATGAACATTGATGTACATTAAAAGAACTAAGGGATACATCAAGTGGAAGCCATGATGAAAGCAAATTAAAATGGTATTTAGAAACAATACTGTAGCCAATTAGGCATATGAGAGTTTCTTTGAGATTTATGGAGAAAGATGTGTGTCCACGACTGTGGGTAATAGACAAAAAGTTATCATGGGGCATATACAAAGCCATGCACACTCATATCATACTCAAAATTAAGATGCACAACTCACTGAAAACCGAAGATTTGGTCGGAAGAATGATGTGAGGATAGTCTTTGTTTCTTTAGCCATGCATAATGACTCAAGAATGTCTTCTCGAACACGAATTGTGGCGGTAGCAGTCAAAGCCATCAACGGAATATCAAACTTCAAAAAATCCAAATTGCAGGCTCTGAAATTTTCTCTCAATATAGACAATCGCCTGAAACAAGCAGAGATAAAGGATGAAACAAAACACATCCCTTGACCTAAAAACTAAAAGCAGACGTATTAAGGAAAATCAAATTAAACCAGAAAGATTCCAATGGCATACAGGACCTATACATGTTAGGAATTTGGAAGCAAAGCATTTAAACGTACAATGAGAAAGAAATAAAGCCAAAAGTCCGGAAAAAAAGAAACTATAAATCATAATTGTCAAGGCATTACCTATGTGACAAGGCACAGGGTGCCTAGACCATGAATTATATTCAAAAAGTGCCCATTTAGGGCACAAAAAAATACAAGATGGTGACTTATTGCAATATTTATTACTTTGGACACATAATTAATGTGTATTTTTTATATATCCTATCATATATTATATATTATATATGTTTTATCTTAGGTCTTACTTTTAAGACAGAAGCAAAACGGCAAAATAAGGAAGAAGAAAAAAATGACAAGGATAAGAAAGGAGGGTGTCTTTATCTTTTTGCAACCTCTATAACATTTGTGTTTGTGTTTGTGAGGTTATCTCTTACATCAAGGCATGGGGCTATTACAGCAACAATAGAATATAAAACTTGCAACTATATATACCCATGCAAAATATATTCCACATCAAGATCTTGCAATATTAAAGCAAAAAAAAATAGCCTTCTTTAGTTGCCATTAGTTTCTGATATCCGATTTCTCTAGGAGTGATTGGAGTTGCCTAGGAGTAGCTCCAATATGTGATAAAATGAGAAAGAGTAGGCTAAGATGGTTTGGTCACGTGCATAGAAGACCACCAACAGCTCCAATTAGAAGAAGTGATTTGTTACAAGTGGAAGGGGCTAGAAGAGCTAGGGGTAAACCAAGGACATGGGTAGTAGTAAGAAATGATTTAAGAACTAATAATTTAAGAATGGATATGGTTTTAAATAGAACGGATTGGAAAAACAGGACTCATGTAGCCAATCCCATATAGTTGGGGTAAAGCATGGATGATGATGATGAAGAATTTTGTGTTTGAGATTTTGAAATTGTTGAGAGGTGTGTAATTGTGTAAACAAGTGTATTTACGTCCTTTTGTCCTATTTTATGTTATAAGTATAGTTACAAATCTGTCCCTGTTTAGTCGTATACTTATATCTGTCCCAATTAAATTAGGGGAAGATTAGTCATTTGCATTTAATTTCAATCTATAAATAAGATCTGGCTACCTGGGGGAGAGGCTAATTTTCTTTCTCTCTCTATTTTCCTCTTCCTTTCTCTTTCTCTTCTTTTTATATTCTGTTTGGAGACTGACTACCATTTACAAAAATTAACAGATCAAAATGCTATTGTCTTTTTGTTACCACAATTTACCATGCTGTAATTAAGGTTCAAAGTATCGATACGATACGCATATCGGCCGTATCGTATCGGTACTTAGAAACGGCCGAAACACCTTTTTTTTTTAGTTTTTTGTTTTCAAATTTTGGTTTTTTGGGAATCTTAAAACATGTTTTTTATTATTAAAAAAAGTTGGGGGTCCGAAACACCTGGAAACAGGCGTTTTGGACCATATCTTTTTCAAAAGATACGATACGATACGATACGCCCGATACGGGGCGTATCGTATCGATACTTTAAACCATGGCTGTAATATGAAATTCATTGTTATTTAGTAAAGAGCATTACCATTTTCCAATTTACAAACTTGCTAAATGAAATACAAAATTAGGGAATTAACCTAGAATTCAGGTTTTCTTACACTCTACTATTACCTAGAATTGTCCATTCACTTGATAACTATGCCAGAAATACAGTTCACCAATGGCATACATGACCTATACATTGCAAGAGTTTGGAAGACGTCCATAGTCCAAAGAAGTCGATGTCTATGGGTCTCATGTGCCTGAATGTGTATAATGTATAACACACTAGCAGTACTTGGTTGCAAAATTATAATATGTAATTTTTAGAACACACTAGCAGTACACCTGTAGTCAGGGCGGAAGTCATGGCCCCACTTGGAGACACAATGAACTTCATCAATGGCAAATAGTGCAATTCCACGATTTTTTGCAAGCCCCTGAAGTGGTCCTATAAGCCTGTAAAACAAATGCATTATTAACAATATTTTTTTTGAAAGACTTTGGGAAATCAAATTCACACATCAACAAACAGATAGTGTGAATCTTCCACCTTAACACTGTTTCTGGGCAAACATAGATTACATTATACATGCCATTCATTGCTTTGTGTTCCACACTACCATCACTTTGTCCAGATCCAAGGAAGCAAGCTGATACACCATGTTTAGCTAGCTTTAAGCACTGATCATGCATCAAGCTTATCAAAGGTGATATGACAACCACAACCTTTCCTGTCAATAATGCAGGAATCTGGAAGCAAAGAGATTTTCCTGCATAAAATGTAAATATGTAATTTAGAAGATAATTTAGTAAACTAGCTACAAGCCTGCAGCCTGTGATTAAATTTGACACAAGACGTGAAGCAGCAAGGATGTAAGGAAAACAAAAATACCAGATCCTGTTGCAGCAAGAACAAGACAATCTTGGTGAGATAACCAAGCCTCTATGGTTTCCTTTTGGAAACTCTTCAATGATGATAACCCAAAATACTTGTTTAATATGTAATCGACTTTCTGCTCCCAGTCTGGTCCTATCACTTGGTCTTGTGTAATATGATGTAGGGATGATTGAGGTGATAGTGGTTTAACATTAGGAAGAGATGTTTCCTGCTTTGCTACCCTGGAAACCATATTTGAGCCAGAATGGGATGTATTGGATGCACCATGGATCTTGCTTCTTTTGGTTCTACCTGATGATTGGAGATGCCCCATGATGCTAGACTGTTTCATCCGGCCCAGAGATTTTGAGGTAGAAATAACCCTTTCACCTGAACTGGTAGAACTTTTTGAACCACATGATACACCTGTTTTCTTTCTGCAAGAATCATTCAAGAGGAACTCAATAGCATTGTCTAGTGATGGACCAACTGCTTCTATAGCTTCTGTAACTTTACAAAAGTCAAATCCCATCTCAATCAGTTCTGCAATCACATGGTCAGCAGATACATCATTCCCATCCATGGTAGTGAATCTGTCATCCAAATAATGGTAGAGAGGTTTAGAAATCATGTGTCAACCAAGAATATATCTCAACAGAGGTTGCAAAAAAGGACCAACTCACATTTTAGCTACATATAGCTACAATAAGTCGTGGTGTTTAAAAATGCGGACCTTAAAATTTGATATCTTCTTGTTAGAAAGAGGGAAAAAAAGAAAAAAAAAAAAAACACATTTCATGTTGAATATCATGTGGCAGGAACCATCTAAATTGAAATGAACTATTGTCTTAAAAATTAGATTTGATTCTTGTTAATGTCTTAGGTGCATATGAAGTTGAGATACAAAACCAATATTCCATTATTCTATGTAGTATGGTTCATTCAAATACCAAAAATCCTGTTAAAGTTAAATAAATAGACTAAATTCCCATCCCGGGCTCTATAAATACTGATAATTTGGGTAGAGGCATCTTGTATTTTTCACATTTTCTAGGATTTCTTCGTTTTTTCCTTCATTCTTTTACATGGCATCGGATGGAAAAATGGATCCTATAAAACCAGAGAACCACAAGACAAACTACTGATTCAGGTTGCAAGAAAAGCATCAAAATAATTGCTCAATTCCATAACAGTTCACAATAATTGAAGACAGTTACAGGAGATCCAATAAAACAATTAGCTGCAATAACATTACAGAAATTGAATGAATCCTACCATACACACACACACACAGAGATTGTCGTTGAAACCTAAATTTGATAAATAAGGGGAGTTTGATGAAGATCTCTCACCCGTGAAGCGATTCTACGTCGACGAAGCGACGTCGGATAATAGGTTTCCGCCCCAATGGCCAATGCAGACAAAAATTTGAACAGGAACAGAAGTGAAGCAATCTCCAGTGACCGAAAAGAGGAAGAGATACAGCAATCGATGACTCGATGTCGCAGACCAGATAATAAAGGGAGTGACGATTCACCGATACTTCTTAAGGCCCCTCTCAAACGCGCGAAACTTTGAAGCGAATTTGCACCGATTGCAATTTGCAACTTGGGCGGGACCAAATGGAGTCACGAGACTCAGGACTCAAGAACAGGAACCTTGCAAAAAGTTGGGCTTGGATTTTCGGATTCTTTAGCTGAGCTTAAGAATCAAAACTTGGGTTTGACTTAAACTCGATTTGAGGCCTCTAATGGGCTGTCTGGGCCAAGAACAGGCCAACCCAACCTGAACATAAACACAATCTTCTATAGTATATATAATATATATAACATTACATCTTTTGCTTCATTTTTAAATTGAATTACAAAACCCAAATTAAAAGGTAAAGAAAAGCAAAACATAAGAAGGATTTTAATCACAATAAGTCCATCAAGCCTACACAAAGTGCCTGTTTGGGAGGGCATCCATGCAACGGCAGTATCGGTGGACATGTATCATATTATGGGTTTTTCGATATGTTCCTATAAGGGGTGTTTTGGGGTCTAACCCAGTTCAGGGGATAAATGGGCCTTAAACCGATCCCTCTGAACCAGGTTGAAAAAAAAAAAAACATTAAAAAAAAAGATGTGAGCCATGATACAGTCTGATACGCCCCTACCAGCATATCAGACTATTAATATTTTGAACCTTGCTTCTGACATTACATGAGCTGAGGAACCCAGAACGCCATGAAACTATGTCAGAAAACTTCTCCCACATAGAAAAAAGTTCTAATTACCGAGTACTGTCTGCTAATCAGTAATCACTGATCCATTTGCCTTGAAAACAAAGGGCCATTACCCAATATAAGCATATATGTATGTATATAAATATGTTGAGATTTCAAACTTTGCTGACTCAATGCGTCGAACCAGTTTAAGTGGGTACTCATCTATGAAATGACTTAATAGTTTACATTACTATTTGTCATTATTTTGAAGTCCCATTTTACTTCCATATCGTGTTCTGTTGACAAAACACTGAGAGTTGAATCATAGACTTTGAACGAATACGGACTTCATTCTGAGTAGCCCCTCCTAGGGGTGTCAATTGGACTGGATTTGATCCAATCTGATCCAGTCCAATGTGGGTCCATTACAAATGGACCAGGTCCAATCCAATCCGATGAATATTTTGAACTATTTTAGACAAGGCGAATTTGATGTCTGGACTGTCCAATTTGTTCAAATTCATTTTAATTTAGATTGGTTTTGACCCAAACCCGGTCCATTGACACCTATATTCTTATCTTAGATTGATGGACCAGATATTGGCTTAATCCAACCGAATCCAATATAAATTTATTACAGACCAGGTCCAGTCCAATATAATAAATATTTTGGATCGGATTGGTCCAATTCAATATGTTTTGTTGGTCCTTCCAGTCCAAAACCGGTCCATTGGCACCCTTAGTCCCTCCAGAGGACCCTTGGCAAATCGCTCGGGTCGTGTTTGGGAGTGCTTTTTGGCACAAATGGGCTTCTGAAAAAGCCTCGTTTTGAAATGGGCTTTTTTGAAAAAAAAAAAACCTTTTAGTATTTGGTTAGTCACCAGCTTTACAAAATAGCTTTTTTGAAACTCGCCTGCTGAAGTTTACCATAACTGTATGCATTTCTCTTTCCTTGATATGACTTTCTTTGCCTAGGATGAACACAATGTTATTCCCATGTAAGTAAGAATATAAAAGTTCCCTTTGCCACTAAACTTAATTTGAACTTTTACTTTCCTTGTTAGTACATATAACTATATAAAGCACTGTTTTGGAAATGAGTGACTCGAATACAATCATCTATTTTTTTTCAGAAAGCTTCTCCAGCAACTGAGGTATTACCTCAAATAAATCTGCTACAAGCCCATAGTCAGAAACCTGTCATTCAAGAGGCAATTACATGGGTATAAGACGAAACTGTCCTGTTCAAAGTAAAAAAAATAAATAAAAAAAAAAAAAAAACAGAAAACACTTGCCACTACTACAAGTCTATAACCATTAAGCTGCAAGATAAATTATTATAGAAGAGACTGGAAAATGTAATTTCCATAAAGTTGTAAATGCACCCAGTTATCAAACGCTACCAGCTCATTACCAATATAACAGCCAACATGATACTGAAGAACATTACAATGTTAAAATTATGTTTCTTAGGAAAATCTATGAGATATTTTGTGATTAGCACATGACACTGTTCTAATGGCACACATAATGGTTAATAATGATGGCATTCTACCATCTTTACACCAGATAATTTGCTCAGACATGTCGAAGAGTAGTTTGTAAGCATCCAAGTTTATGGTTCCACATTGCTGTGCCTTAGTTATTACTTTTTTGATTGTTGAAAATCCAGCCACCATATATGGCACATACTTGGATCAATTTAGAATGTACATTGTGCAATAGTTGGTATCAAGATACCCCACCTCTAGCCCCCCCCCCAAAAAAAAAGAAAAAAAAAATCCAAAATTAACCCGGCTATCAGTGTGAACCAAATTACAGCGATGCTATTGGATATGCTGATCATGAGTTTGCATATGCTGCTACATAACTTTGTGACTGTTATTATCCAATCAAGTGTTATCAACTAGAGGAAGATGTTGAAGACCAAGACAAAGGGAACCATTCATGCAACTCAACTCAACTCAACAAAGCCTTGTCCCAACTATATGGGTTTGATTACATGAGTCCTATTCCACCATTCTGCTCTATTCAGTATAATTTCTGTAGTAATTATGGGCCATCAAATCATTTATCACCACTTCAACCTGTGTCCTAGTTTTTCTAAATCATTCACTTGCTAGTGCTTGGGCGATCTTGTATTGAGTCTATTGACATGATCAGACAGTCTAAGTCCACTTTCCCTCATTTTATCACCTATGGAGGTGACTCATAGATTCCTACAAACATGCTCATTTCTAATCCTATCTGATCTAGCTTTTCTAGGGGTGCAAGCCCCTAGAAATTTGAGCCTGGGGTCTAGCTTTTCTAGGGAGGCCCTAAGATTTGGGCCTAAGGTCCAAGCCCAAACTGAGCCTGGGGTCAAGCCCGATCTTGTCAACCCAGGCCCAGCCTGCACTGAAATTTGATGCACTTGCGTTGGGCTGGGCCAGGCTTGGCTTGGTCAATGAGCCCACTCTAAAATTTGACATATGCAAATATGCATACAAATATGTATGTACATATGTAAATATATATTTATATGTATTTATGAAATTATGGATGTGTATAGTCGGGCCAGGTTTGGGCTACCTAAGGGCTAAGCCCAGGCCCAACCTGAAAAACAAAAAAAGCCCAAAGTCTTGGGCCCAGGCCCAACCCAAAGACCGAAAATCCAAGCCCAACTGGTGTAAAATTGTAGGTTGGGTTGGTTTGGGCTCAGGTTGGGCTCGCCCAAGTTGCACCCCTAAGTTTTTCCACTCATTTATCCCACCACACACATCTTTTCTCAAAACAACTCAACTCAACTCATCTAAACCTTGTCTTAACTGCTAATTATATGTAGTAGTCTACCACATGAATCCTGTTCTGCCACCCTGCTTTGTTCAGTGCCATATTCATTGTTAAGTTATGTTCCTTAAATTACAACTCTGCCATACTCATTATATATATCCTCTCCACATGGGTCTTGCCAACACCTAACTCTCAAGTGGAAATATATAAAAAGGACAGGTTGGATCACATCGAATAATGATAACCAGAAAGAAATATGCAAGATTTCCAAATAAATTTGCAATAACCCACCAAAAGATAGAGAATGATAAAGATTTTATTCCCCACCTGGAATATAGGTGCATCCACATCTTTATTAACAGCCACAATGACCTTAGAATCTCTCATTCCTGCAAGGTGTTGAATGGCTCCAGATACCCCAAATGCCACATATAGCTCAGGGGCAACAATCTTTCCAGTTTGCCCAACCTGATAAACAATATCCAATACATTAGATCATCATAAAAAGGAGGTCAGCAAGATCCAATAATGAAACAAAGCAAATAAATGATCAAATCAAACAACTATTGCCCTGAAAAGGCATTTCAGGTCATAACCCTTATAAAATATATACTACCTTCTTACCATCATAACGAAAATACATGACCTTGCAGGCTGAACTACTTATGTACAAGGATAAAACATTTCATGAGCAAAAGATTTCTTACTTGTGTAAATGTAGTGTGCTAAGATGAGAACATAGATGAGTACATCCCAAGTAATGGAAACTACAGCCTACCAAATCCAATCAAATCTTAAAATATAATCATAATGCATGACATGCACATAACATGTACATACATATCTACATGTTGGCAAATATTATCTACAGAGGAATATGTCATTCAGTTTCTAGTGGGTTAGCAGATCAGCAAATGCATTGGCAGACTCTATGGCTAAACAAGGGGCTTCTCGGGTTTCTTTGTATTGGGCTAACTTATAGTTTTGCTTACTGATAAGTGTTTGGATCTGTACTCATCCCTATGAGGAGGTAGCATCTCATGCCTCCTCCAAGGCTGACTGTACTCTCCTTTTTTCTCTATAATAAATTTGATTACTCATTTATCAAAAAAAAAAAAAAAAATCTGCAGAGGTAGATGTTGCTTGCTACCCAACTGACAAAAAAATTTCTGGAGGTAGTATTGGGCTCACAACAACCACCCATAGGATAAAGCCATAAAGTATTTGAAACAAAATAACAACCAAGAGAATAAAAATAGCAACAAAAAAATCCAAGAAAAGACAGATAGAAACAAGCACCACCACGAACACAAAGGATTTACGTGGTTTGTCCTTACCACCTATGTCCATGGGAGAGATGAAAACCATTCTTCACTATGAAAGAAAATGAGAAGCAATAAGTAGTGGCTTGGAAACCAAGCCAACCTGTAACCCTTGTACACCTGCGTTTTCCCTTTCCTCCCTCAACTCAAAGAACAAAACAAGAGAAAAAACCCACTCTTACACGAAGACCACCTTTCTTCTCTCAACCTCTCCTTTATCCCTCTTCAACAAGGAAAAGAGCAAACCCCTCTCTCTCTCTCTCTCTTAAAACCCTACATACAAAAGAAACCTTTTATATATGAAACCCACTTTAACTTAAAGGAAGCACCACACCCACCATTAGATTATAACTTAATCCAATGGTTGAAAAATAAGATACAATCCCAATAGGTAGAACATACTGCATGCTGCCAATGAATTAACCCTTGAAACTAATGCATTTGTGAAATTAAATCTGAGGAAGAAAAAGACCAGGTGGGTTGAAACTCCAATCCTAACTTATTAACCATGACTCTATATATGGTGAGACACTTAGACAGTGATATTATACAACTCACTCATCTTATTAATGCATAGCATTCCCTAACATGTTATTAGAACTTCAATGACCTTTGTGCCTTGGAACATTTTTCTTACGTAGACACAATGGAACCAGCAAAGAGAAATGTAGTTGCTATAATAAAATAGGATTCACAGTCAATGTTTTGAAAACTGGACTGGGCCGGGCCACTAAGATGGAAAAAACATGGACTGTTCCCAAACTGGCTTGGTATCTTCACTGGTTGAACAGCCAGACCCATGGTTAAACTACCAAGGGTGGACCAAGAAAAAAGCAGTTTGCCCATGGTTTTCAAAACATCAGTACAGTTTCACATAAAACATCTATATGTCCTACATTTTGAATTAATAAGCATTAAATCATCAACAGTTTCTAGTCAGAACAAATATAAGGAAGAATGGAAGATAATTGCTCCTTGTCTTACAGAGAATGCATTAACAAATATTTGAGCTTTAAAAAGGAAGTAAACCTTGAAATGAAGTGATCTCGGGACGAAATGAAAGGCTTCCTAGAAAAACATCATTACCTGGAGCTCATTAGGAACAAATCCTGCATCAACAGCAGCTCGGGTAGCACCAACTACAGAAAAGAAGAAAAGGGGTTAAAACCAACATAATCAAGTAAAAGCAAAAAAGTCAATTCTAAAATGAACTATGAACATCCAAGGCTCCAAGAAGGAGCAGTTATCCCTAAGGCTTCAAAGTTATGGGAGGAAGGCATGATTACCTAGCATGTTCCAAGGAGAGAAAAGACAGATCAACTGGTTCGGTACTTCAATATAGAAAGATATATGGGTAGAAAAAATTGTGTACATCAAGAAAATTCATAAAATGCATACCTGCTGCACCAAGCTTTTCAGCAAGCTTCTCTATTAATTTAAAGTTCTCTGCACTTTTCAGGCCTCTACCTCCAGTGACTACTACACGTGCATTTCCCAAATCTGGGCGTTCTGTGTCCTGAGATGTATGCTTTAGATATCTAGATTTCCCAATGCCATCTGTACATAAGAGAAATGAAATATGAAGTCTCATTATCACATCTAAAGAACCAATAAAACACGATTAAGGTTTTAAGCTATTTGTCAGGTGGCTAGAATTATGTATGGAATTAAATATATATGTCATTAATGGGATTACAGAACAAATGTGAACTCCACAGAAACTTGTAAGCCTGTAAACTGGTGATCCTTGTAATGCCGAACCTTTCTTTTCCCCTCTAAACTAGGCCTAATAATAGTTAATATCCATGAAGAAATGTAATGAATAGAAGTTCAATGATACAAACAGACCTTCACTAAAGGTTGAGAGATCAACCTGGGAAATGGGAGCCCCATTAGATTTTGAATCAGATGAATTCAAGGGCACTGGAAAAGATGTGGACCTAATAGTCATCATACAAGGCTCTGCTCCCATGTATCGAACGGTACAAAGAGCATTTCCAGCATAAATTGGCCTGCCAGATAGAACAATGCCTTATATCTGACCCAAATTAAGAAATCACACACCTATTATGTGTAAGAACAAACCGATAAGGTAATGATAGTTTACCACATATACACTATAATCATAGATGATGATCAAATTCAACTTCAAAATGATCCAAGCGTAATGATACAATATCAGAATCTTCTTAGCTTAATATCTACAAATGTGTTCCTCAGTTAAATAACAATCTTTTTTATTTAGTTTAACTAATAATTGAAACTGTTACATGGCTTCTTTCCGTAACTATTTTTTTACTAGAAGATGGTCATGATGGGGGATAATTGCCCAGCTCATAAAGGAAATGGACATTACATCCTGGATCTTAGTTCTCTTTCTGGTGAAGTGGTAATAACAAAGACCAAGTTCACTTTTGGTATTCCTGGCTTGGTCAGTTGTCCTTTCTTTCTTTCAATTCTCAGTTTCCAGGATGCATCTTTATTAAGTCCACAATGTGATGTAGGTCAACTTGCAGAACATTTTGCTGGTTCAACACGTTGCGAAAAAAAAAAAATCATTCAAGTTTGAGATTGCCAAGGATACAAATCTTTTTTCTTATACTCCTTCAAATACATCTTACACCACACATTGGAGCATTCTTTGTGGAACCCACCTGTAACTGGCAGATAAGGATCTCTGAAATGACAGAATGTTCTGCATTTGCAGTGTAAGATACATTTGAAGTGTCTGCAAAAATTGACACTTTGTCATTTTCATCTGCAAAAGAATGTGGTGCAACAATCAAGGTGTAAGCCATTGGATTCAAACCACTCATTTTTCAAAGATACAACTTAATCTGCATGAATGTCCCTGAGTTTATGTGAATATCTCATTTTCAAATAATAAATAGTCAGGTTCGCATTTGCTAGCCAAACTGGACTTGAATATGTCTGGATCATTCCTCAAGTTTCTTACATGCTAATATGCCTAGGAAGCAGCCTTCTCAGGCATCATTCAGTGCCTTTGACTGCAGGTACATAAAAGGCATTACAATTATAAATTAAAAAACAAAAAACAACCTCTTGCAAAGTCAAACATCTGTTTCTTGAATAGTAGGTAATTAGGGACATCCCGCATTGAACAAACTACACTTTATTTGACAAGAGAATAGTCCAGATAGTTGAAAAGAATTAATCACAATCGTGCAATGAAATATACACAGAAAATACCTGATAAATAACTGAGGTCCAGAAATTTCAATGACATCTGTAACGGGCGAAACATCTAAAAGAGCAGCTGCTCGTGGTAGTATGTTTTTACCAAATGAACTTGATGCAGCAATTATGTGTGAGTAGCTACCTTGCTGCTGAACCAAATGGACTAGCTTAGCCCATGGTTCAGCAAGTGGGTGTGCTAATTTATCTGTATCGGCCACGAGCACCTAAAAAAAAGAACAGTAAGAGAAAGTTGAAAACCTGAAGTTATTTTAGAAGCAGTCCAGATATACTTATATGAAGAAGATTTCAACAGTTACCTTATAACAATACTGAATATTGTTTGATTATAAAATAATTAAGAGTGAAACCAACTAAATAGTTCATAGGGTGAGCTTTAATTTATTAAATTAATCGTTTAAACAATCCATCATATTTTATGGAAAACAAGAGATACCTGAGAAATTGAAGGATGACATGAGGCAGCGTGAGAAGCAGCTTGTTGAAGGGATGGGCCTGACCCAGCCAATAGCATAGAAATGGAGTTTCCTTCACTAATAGTCCCTGCAGCTGCCACTGCGCTCAAGGATGATTGTTTTACAAGCCCGCCTTCATGTTCAGCTAAAACCAATGTGCTTATCTAGATAAAAAAACAGAGAAATACAGGCAGAATAAATAACACATGCAAGTTCAATTATCGTTACATCACAATCGCCAAGTAGACCAATGGCTAGCATGCATAAGCCATGTTTGCTCAAGCAGTCAACCAAATTAGTCAATGTGCAGTTTTGCTTCTTCAAAGAAGAAGGTGTGTTATTAAAATAAGAGAAAGTGGACTACGATGGTTTGATCGAATGCATAAAACAGGATTTATGTAGCCGACCCTATATAGTTGGGATAAGGCTTAGTTGATGATGATGATGATGATTAACATGTAAGATGACGGGGGGAAATCAATATGTGAGGCTAAAAGAATACAGGTGGTGCATATAAGAAAGAAACTGTTTTAGTTCAGTTCACCACGCGGGCATGACAAGCAGCTGAAGAAAAAAAAAAGATAATAAAAATAAAGGGCAAAATCCCAAATTATAGTCCTAGTTTGGAGGTCGGCCTTCTAAAAGGTTCGTGAAAGGACCATATGCAATTATGCATTTCCAGGTTCCAACAATGCATCTGAATTGAAAGATTGACCACTAACACCCAATTCAATTCAGTTTGGTAGATCATTCGGGTTCTTCAAGCAACCGGAACTAATAGAATTTTGGTTTCCTTTTCTATTACCAGTTATAATCTATTGCAATTTTCTTCAGATGGATCAATCTAAGCCACGCTTAAGATTGTATTCAAGAAATCAACCACTAATCCGATAACAAACCAAGTTTCATGAAATGAGGAAAAGAACCCTTGGGAACAAAACATTTAGGAACCCAACCTTCAGATAAAATAAAAGAAAAAAGTTATAGCCGATGTGGAGATTTATACAGAGAAATCGTGAATTTGAAGTCCGTTGTTGCGGAGAACTTACATATCTTGAGACGGAAGTGAGAGGTGAAGATGGAGATGACGAAGAAATGATGAACGGTCGTGGTCTCAGAGCTCGGAGCATCGCAACAGCTATCATTTTCGCTTGAGAGCTGAGAGCTTTTTTGAGATTTCAGGATTGTAGTCTTTCTTCTGGTAGTTTTGGAGTGGCCTTCTCCGATCCTTACTGGTCAGATTGTTGTCTGGGAGTCGGAGTCGGAGTCGGAGTCGGAGTTGGAGTTGGAGGCATAACCAGGAGTCGTCCAGGGCAAGGACGCCACAATGGCCCACCTAACCAACCTTAAAAAAAGCTGCTTTTGGACTTTGGATAAGCTTTAATCTGCAGTAGGTAAAAATTAAAAAGCCATGGCTTGCTATATGCTTTTGTAGTTTTGTGTAGTCGCATAAATAAAAGGATAACTTATAAAAGACACCTGTATTAATGGGATCAGTGACCATTACCCCATTTGCAATAAAGATTTCTTAAATTTTTCTTTTTTTTTCATCCATTTTCTCTTAAACCCTAATTGACCTAAAAATACTTTAATTTTTTCAAACAAAAGCACTGATATGGTGTTTGGAAGCGTGGGCGCTTTTTGGGAGCGATTTTCAAGAAAAAACGTTCATGCTTCTAAGACCCATTTTTCACAAAAAAACGCTTCTGCCACGTAGGCAATGAGCAACACTATGATGCTTGGTAAGGTGATTTTCATCACTGTTTTTCATGTATGTGCTGATAGGTAAGCACCACATAGGATACATATCAATCAATTGTTAGGGGGAAATGGTTCACTACATCGGTGGGGTCTCGATTTTCGAGGCATGCCCGATTTTTTAATAATCGGCTGAACCAAACAATGAGATACATGGGCGTTTGTTGAAACGCCTATGTGGATCCGACGTGGCACCATTTTTTGAAAAACGGCCACGGTTCCAAACATCCCCTGAAATAACAAGAATCATATCATTGATGAAAAACAAGCTTATTTAATTTAATTTAATTTTTTTTGTTTCATTCCGCTGATATGAATGTCTATCATCATCTTAAAGCATAAAAATTATCCAGTCCTTTCTCTAACAAATCAAGAAAAACCAAACAAAATCTTAAATTTACATATATCAAAAAGAAACCTCTACCATTTCATCTACATATTAAACCTAGCCAGGAATTTGCTATGATCTATTACAACAACTAGGAAGACTTCAATATTATATTTAGAGGGGAAAATTCCTAAACAATACCCTAAACCTTGGAGGTTGTGTCAAATCAGTCCCAGAAACTTCAAAACATGTCTTTGTAGTACCCTGGACTTTTAAATTGTGTCTAATAGGTCCTTACCGTTAGTTGATTGTCATACAACACTGTCATGTAACATTAGGTGCACATTAAATAATTTTAAAATAACAAAATTACCCTTTATGATATTTTTCTTACCCTTCTTCCGGTTATAGTTGATTGTTGATGGAGAGAATAGGGAAGCGAGAGCTTCAACAGTTGATCGATATTTGGTTTTATAACTCTTCTTCCCTTTTCCTTATTCTAACACTCTAACAAAGTGGGTAAAATGGTTAGAAAACTATAATAAAGGGTAATTTTGTCACTTTGAAATTATTTAATATGCACCAGATGTCACGTAACGGTGCTGACTAACGGTCAACTAACAATAAGGACCTATTGGACACAATTTGAAAGTTCAGGGTATTGTAGAGACACATTTTGAAATTTGGGGACTGACTTGACACAACCCCCAAAGTTAAGCAAATAAGTTGTTTAAATAAATAAGAAAATGGTAATTTTGGGATTTAAAATAATTTAAACAGTTGGATGAGAATATTTTTCAAATTTAATTTATGGAACTCTAACAAAGGGGTATTTTGGGTAAAATGAAAGTTCAAGGGAATTTTTGCCACAAATGAAAATTCAAGGGGGGTAATTGTCATTTATGCCATAGTACAGGGGGTCTATAACTTACCCTAATTAAAACATACATTTATTGAAACAGCCCTTATGGTTTCCCATATTTTTTTTAAACCTATTAGTTGTGTTTTACTTAAACACCCCCATATACTGCAACTAGTTTACTTAATCAACCATATGTTAAGAACTATTTGTATTACCATTTAAAAATGACAATGCCCTGAAACGTTTTTGTTTTTATGTTGTTGAATAACTCATGGGGCCATGCCCTTAAACATTTTTCACTTGGTTTAAGTCATTGATTAAGTAAACTAGAAGGTCAATTAAGTACCCCTAGCACTTTATATCAAGTTTTTAGAGAGAAAACCTTCCCCTACAACACAACTTGGATGGAGAAGATGTTGAGTGTATGTGATAGAAGAAGAGATTCCAATCATGCCCAATCATAATAATAATAATCTTCTTCTTCTTCTTCTTCTTCTTGTCAATGTGGTAAGAGACTTTGCACATGATTTACTAGGGGAAAGAACAAAAATTCTATATTTATTTTATTTTAATTAAAATTGTTTTAACAAAACCATCATTTTCCACTCAGGCTCAGTTTGGAATGAGTACAACTACAAATATATACAATGCGAAAACATGTATTTTATATTTCTAAACCTTGTTTTTGCATTATACAGATTTATATTTATACCATCTCCAAACTGAACCTTATGTCTAACAAAGGGTGGATGAAGTAAATTAGTTGTAAAATATACAGAGTGTTATAGTAAAACCAAAATTGTAGGTAGATTTTAATACATACGTGAAAATACACAAGATGTTGCTGCCTCAAGCTACTGGTTCAAGATCTGTTTTTGATTCGATCGAAGAATAAAAAGGTAACCCATTTTTTCATACTGCTGATAATACTCCTCTTCGCATTATTCATATTGGACAATGCAAGGTGCCAACCAGCGAGTCCGCGTTCTGTGGACCTGTGGATTTACGGGACACGTGGATCCACCATTGAGAGACGACTACGTCGTCTGGGCAAAAACTCCCGAACGTTAACGGACCTTTGGCCATTAATTAAAGTGTTTGATTGAACCGGACACAAAAGACAAAACAGCTGATCGAAGGTTAACACACCACCATTTGTTGTTTCTCCTCCACCATCGAACCCTACACCACACACCGGCGAGCACACCACAGTCGCATCTGTCCATTCGGAAGCCATTGGCCATCGGCGGTACGTTCTCTAGTATCCTCCTCTTCTTCTTCTTCTTCTTCCAAAGGTTTTCCTGGTTTTCTTTCTTCAGTAGATTGAAGATGATCCGAACCTTCTATTTTCAACAATGGCAGTCATTCTTTAGGCGAACAAAGGTGAGTGATCCTGAAAAGGAGTTCACACTGGCGGATTCACCCGTAAGGGGAGCTTTTTGAACCATTAGATTTTTTTTACTGTAAAGCAAATTCCAATCTGATAGCAGAAAAGCACCCCTTCAAGGTTAGATAGGGTGACAAAGCCCTTATTAGCTGCAACAGAACTACCAATCGATCTAAATTTGAGACGTCTTTCTGTTCTTTTGGCTCCAATAAAATTTCATCTCTGTCGGATCAAAAGCAATAATTCTCATAAAATTTTAGGAGTACAAGATGCCAACTTTTTTGTGCATTCCAATTGCTTTTGTTGCTACAAACCCAAGTCACTTGCTATTAATACAAGATAGGAGACTTGGATGCTTGGGGAATACCCACTTCAGCAAATCGTCATGTGTACACCAATTGGTCCAACAAACATCAGTCGAGAGTTGGAGACTCTCTCTGTAAGTTTTTCTCTCTGCAACTTCCCTTTTTTTATTTCCTTTCCCAATCTCCATTTTTTACTTTCTCATCCCAGTAAACATGGAATGAACCAAAACCCATTTCTAATTCGCACTCATCTCATCATCCATGACTTCTTATCTCATTTCTCCCTGCAGGATTCCTCTACTCAAGGGCCTATACGTTTGTTTTGATGTCCGACATCTGAAAGTACAATAATTGCATTAAGAGATATATTGGTATTTGTGAACTTTTCTTTCCTCTGACTTCTAAAAATTGTCAAATATCCATTTTAACCCCATATATGAGAACTTGTGTATGCCTTTGGGGGTATCATAAAAAATAAAAAGTTGTAAGATTCCACTTTAAGAGATAAGAGATAAGAAGAAACAAACACCCATTTTTCTCTTAAAGTTATAAGATTCCTCTTAATAGATAAGAATTAAGAGGAAACGAACATGCCCTTAGTGATTCAAGTAACAGAGAAAGCCTTCAGCACCTTCAATCTCAAAGAACCCATCTTGTACATGAACGATGAAAACTCGCTATTTAATATTACTTCTCTAGGCAAATTGTACTTCACCAGTGGAGTACTCGGGCACTACGAGGAATTGCAGAAGATCAAAATTTTCATGCTTTTTTCTGCTATGGTGTGTTCGCTGGTATGAGCACACATTTCTGTGCTTTTGTGTCCGGTTCAACCAAACACTTCAGTTAATGGCCAAATGCCTATTAACATTAGGAAGTTTTCGCCTAGACAATGTGGTCGCCTCTCATTGGGGGGCTCACACGTCCTGTGAACCCACGGGTCCACTAAACATAGACTCCTGATCAATTGGTTGGTAAGGTCTCCTACTAATCATAATGGAGACTTAGGATTGAATCTTGCCTATACCTGGGTTGGGGGGCTGTGGGTTGGTGGATGGATTACCCCCACTGTGTAGCCCTTCAAAAGATATAAAAAAAAAAGATTATGTAGCTTGAATATCAGGCAAACAAATTTGCTTCTTGGTGGAGCCTCACATTCTAAAGCTCACATTTATTGTTGGGCATAAAATCCCTCTATTTATTGGGATGAATTTTTATCTAAGAAAATTGGTATTCTAATCAATCTAGATAAGCTGAATTTGTAAAGGCAACATCTATTCTAATCGATTGTTTAAACATTTAAATGGAATAAGGTTTTAGAATTGGTTCATTTAGGATAGGTTGGAGTAGGATTGGATCGAGTTGGGTAAAGGTAGATTCCAATTTGAATAAGATCTTACACATCATATTTGTATTGGATTTGAATCAAATTTGGATTACAATCAGATAGTGAATAATATAAATAAATTAATTAAAAAATGGTCACAAAGAAAATAAAGAAATAAATTAGTAGGTTCATAATCAATAGGAAGTAAAATATGATAGGAAAAGTCTAGGGTAAAAGACTTAAACATACCCTGAGTTTTCATAAATTGACTTAAATATATAAAAAAAAGACTTAAATATGCCTTATGCCTGTTAGATTTTTTAACATAATGAATTGAAAGACTTTTTAAGCCTTAGTTATTTTTCAAAATTTTAATAAAAATTAGAGAGAAGCTGAAATTGAAAGACTTTTTC